GGGGGGGGGGGGGGGAGGGGAGGATTCGGCGGAGGATAGGTGATACGCACCACTATAACTCTCATGCTTTATTCATATTAATTTAAACAAATTCTCATTACAGAAATTTCATACCAAAAGACAGTATTTAATTTTTTTTTAGTATTAATTATTTTGAGTATTAAAAGCATTGCTCAAGTTCAGTGCTTCTAATAGTCAAAGTAAGTAATGTTTGTCAGTAGTACTTTTAGGGCTTTTGTTCACTCATCACTGTTATCTAAGATTGTAATCTCAGAGACATGAGAAAATGCATAATAGAAATTCTTACAAATTATATTCGAATAGAAATATTTTTCAATAAAATAATATTTTCAATCGATAGAATAGACTTATAAAATATCGAAAACTGTTTTTTTGTTTCGAAAAGAAATTAAATCACATATTTACTTTTATATACAATATTATTATTAATTCGATTGATTTTTCCAGAGTTATATAAGTAGTTATTGGTTATATTGGTTATGATTTATTTAATGAAACAAAAAAGAAGTAAATTTTACAAGTCGATTCTATTGATTTTAATGAGTAATGAATTCTATTGATTGTATTGATTGTGTTGTTTAAAATATATTTCCGTATTATATTAATATATCTTGCAATTCTTATTGTGTATTTTTTTGCTTCTAACGTTACAATCTGAGATAGTAGTGGTGAGTGAATTTTAATATTCAAAATGAATAATTTTAAGTAAGTACTAAATTGATCAGCATTAAATTAGATTTTTGTAAGGGACAAGAGTATTTGCTTTATCGTGTGCCTCTTTATCCAAATTACTTCTCTTCCGCTGGATTTACTTTTAATTTATATTTCTTTTCTGCTATCATTAATATACATTTTTACTCAGAAGATGACTTATAGAATTCATTTTGAGTTTATAAATCGTTTATGTGTCAGAAAAAACGGAACATGTAAGTTCTCAATATCGATAGTGAGCAGGTTGCATATATGTTTCTTATTGTAAAAATAACATCTTGTTTCTATTTTTACATCCACAGAATGGCAGACATGTTAATCTCAAACATCTTCAGAACAAGAATTTTAATTCTTGATTTTTCTTACTATTGTAATTACATAAATGTATACATCGCACGTGTACATGTGACTTATCTTTTTCATTATTCCAAGAAAAAATCGAAGACTTAACGAAATTTGTTTTTTTTTAAACAATGTTTACGGTAAACTAAATTAATATGGATGAAAGGAAAAGAAGACATCATTAGAATTGCATGTACTTCACTTCCTTCTCGTCGAACAAAATGCATTCGCATAGTTGTTTCACGGTGTCTTACGTAACGCCATACAGCATCTTTCTGAGACGGATTTAGCTTCTAGATCGACCGATTGATTTTTCGCGATACAAAAAGTCGTTCCAGACGTAAACAAAGTCTGCCGCGATATAACGCGGAGGAAAAGTTTCGCAAAAATGATGATCGCTACACGTATAATAAAGCGTTTATGTTTCCTTACAATGTCAAAACGGAATATAATAAAATATAAGCTTTTAAATGCGAACTATTGCTCAGTTTATCTTTTAATTATTGCGTAGTGTTTAATTATGGCATGTGTTTTCCATTGACAGTGGTAGAAAATAGCAGTGATAAATATTAGGAGCCAGAAATTTATCAAGGAAAGGGGGCATTAGCGCAAAATGAAATTTTTTTAAGATCACATATAAAAAAAATAGAATATTATAAATTATTATTATTTAAATTATTACATTGAAAAAATATTTAAAGTTATTTAAATGTATAACTTTAAAAAACGTTTTTTTAAAAATTATATTAATACAAAAGAAGAATAAAGGAATTTATGTTTTTTTATATTTATGTATTTTATCTATAGAAATCTTCAAAAATAATTTTTTGAATATTCAAATTGGATATTCAAAATGATTGAGCATTTGAAAGAAATATTAAAAATATTATATAACATTTTACTATAAACATTTTTAAAAAAAGGGAAGGACCATGGCCCTCATGGTCTCTCCTTGTGAATTCGCCAATGGAGATATATAATTTATTCGATCATGATGAAGATGATTAATATGACTGACTTATAATATTTTTAACTTTAAGTTTCCTGACATCTTTATTTAACATTATCGTTTTTAATTCATGATTGATTGTTTTAAATATTAATTTATTCATCCTTATATAAACAAAAAAACGAACAAATTAATATTAAACACAATTAATCAATATCTTTTATCATCATATTGTCTTGATGTAATTTGCGAATTACTGCTTTTTCTATAGTTTTCAACTTTCTGGATAATATAATATTGAACCGAATTAAGATCGGCTTGCAACTATTGTGAATGACATATTCTTTTTATGTATTTAACAACTTTGGTTCTTATGACTGGAACTCATGCGAGCATAATAAATCGAAACGTTCTGACATTTTATTTGTAATTTATTCTCGGACAATCTACTTGTATTTGTTCTAATAATAACACGATGTTGTTAATTTATGCGCACTAACTACAGCGCTTGACACTCATTTGCTTTTTGTTATATTATTTTATATGACTGAGCTGTTATTTTGTTATGATGAAAATTCGCGGATTTCTCTTCCCTCTTATTTTGTTTCTTGGTGCACAGGAGAAACATAATCTATTTTCTTAATTGTTGTACGATTTGTTCTCATATAACTCTTTAAAGAATTTGAAAACGTCATGCTGGTCGTGTTGAACCGATCAGCCGGCTATCATGTGAAAAAGGTAACTTCGTTCTTCGTCCACATATTCCGATGTATCAAAAGCGAATTACCATCGATCACCGACTTGGACATTCTCGGCCGCGAGAGTACATCGGGTGGTACCGGCGATCGAATCGGTCCCGGCGTAGTTGCGAGTACGCTCGCACACTACTTTGCTGCCAGAAAACTCGATGGCACCTTACAGAGAGAAGTCAAGGGCAAGAAGTGTCCCTTCGTTTGCACAGTCTGGGCCCAGGAGCCCTACCGGGCGATTCCTTCTCCCCACCTTTTCCTCTAGCACCCGTCCCTACCACTACATAAGTTTACTCTTTGCTCCACCGCCTCTGGGGCCCTTTTCCTCTCCCCCTTTCCCCGACATTCCCGCGATCATCCCTCCGCTGCCGCAGCTGTCTCCTTCCAGCCCTTCTCTCTCTGCTCTGAATGCTGCGGATCCTCCCAACCCATACGCGAGTATGTCCTTTCAGGTTTTCTTAAAATTCGTCTCTGTTTAAGCAGAGACAGAGGGGTACGCTCTTATAATCCATACAAGAGTGTCCACCACCTCCTCCTCCTCTTTCGCGTCTTCCTCCACTTCTATCGTCATCAGCTCCTCCTTCTCCTTCCTTCCTTCTCCTGTTGCCCATCTCGTCTCAACATGAATCCATATGTATGGGGTTGAGGCGCACAGTGCTCGACGCAAATGTGCTGACTACATTACGCCCGGCTATATAAGATAGCCGGACAACCATCCTATCCCCACAGACCGAGTCAGATCGGCGGACCGTTCACAGACGGGCCACAAGGAGCTCGCGTCCCGATCGGCTGATACTCATTCGCGGTGAAGATATCACGTCCGAGATCGTCTTGGAAGGGTCGACTGTTGTTGACATTTCTGACGAAGTGAACAAGAGATTGCTTAAGAGTTCGAAGAATCGTCTTATCAGGAGATATTGGCAAAAGCAGCCCGATTATCAAGACTAACGCATGTTTTGATTTAAGAATCTATCCTGCAGAAAGAATATAAACTAAAGTTCTAAAAGACAAGCACGATCGAAACATCTTGATAGCAAAATATATTTATAAGAAGAATTCAGGAAACGAATTTTTTCAAATTGTCAGAAAAAAAGAAAGAAATAATTGTAAAGAAAGAAAAAGGAAGAAGAGGCAGAAGATTTTCTTTAGTAAAGAAATTTGTGATCGTGCTGAAGGATGATTTTTATTGGCGCCACGACATATTTCCTACTCGCCATTGTTCTGGTGGCCTTGATCTTGATCGTGATGGACCATATCAGATTGAAGAAGAAACCGAAGAAATTATATGACGGCGATGAGCCATCCGATTTACCAGATCCACCTGGACCGAAACCATGGCCAATTTTGGGCTCTCTTCATATTTTGGGACGTTATGATGTGCCTTACAAGGCTTTTGGCGACCTCGTCAAGGCCTACAACAGTCAGATAATCAAGCTCAAGATGGGATCTGTATCTTGCGTCGTCATCAATGGATTGGAGAACATCAAGGAGGTCTTGATTGTCAAGGGCCACCACTTCGACTCTAGGCCAAACTTCGTTAGATATCATCTCCTCTTCTGTGGCAACAAGGAGAATTGTAAGTATCCTATTTTTTATTATTTCTACAAACTTTCCATTAAGAATCAATTAGCACAAAATTATATCTAATTTTTGATATTATATCTAATTATATCTAATTTATAATATGCTAAATTAATATCAATAAAGCCTCAAAAAAAATTGTAGAGTAGATCTTATATATTTACATCTTATGCATTTAAAGCTGTTTTTTTGGACAATTTATTATTCTATCAATATTACTAATTAATAAATCGAATAAGGATGATCCGTCAATAAATATTCTTAAATCGTCGAAACAGAGATTGATTACGTACGAATAACAAATCACTCTCTCAGCGGTTTAGGTCACGTTGTGAGCATGTTTTCCGATCACACATCTGGCAGGGAGCTTAGAAATCCGATTATTATAAATCATCGGATTATTATAAATCATCGATGCAGCGTCGGCAGAAAGTTCGCAGCACCTCGTTAGGGAGCTTCTGAAAAATTGCATGCTAATGACCTTGTCGCGCGTCGCGCATATACTCACGCATAGTTTACGCGACGTATGATTTACTTGTCGCGTATTCCATACTCGTCCGCGCCAAAACTCATGCTAAGGTCAGTTTAAGAAGCGGTACCAAGTGCAGGCGGAAAAGGTCACGGTACCACTTTCACGCATTCCTGGCTCACCCGGCAGCCGGAAAATAGGATCAAGGCTGATCCATCAGAATCGCCGCTGCCGCGCCATCTTACCCCGGTGCAATCCAAGACGATCACATTAACTCTTTCCACTGCGTATGTTCGTACGCATTGGAATATTTTAATTTCGCGCTCACGTCACATGTGCTGGCAGCTCTTAATACGGTCACCTCTATAAAGTGCTTTATTTATTGCAGAATTAGTATTATTATTAGCTACTAATCTCTTGACTTTTTCATTACGCGCAATAAATTAATGTTTTTCTATATTAATCTTTCTCAACGTTTGCATATTCTAATTTAGCTTTCGTCAGACATCTAATAATACGTTCATTTAATCGTTTGTTATTAAGAAATCCATATTTTTAATTGTATAAAAACTAAAAATATTTATATATATATATATATATCAAAATAAAACACTTAAAAATTTTTCTATATTATAATTTATTTATCTCTAATTTGATCATCCGATCATGGAAAAATATATAAAATATTCAAGAAATATTTGTTATAGAACACTAAAAAAAAATTTTCATACTGTAATTTATTTTATAATTAATTTATACCTGATTTGATAACGTTCGCTGGATTATCATGGAAAAAGTGTGGGAAGACCGAGCTGCCGCTCTTCAGGTTCTCGGTCCGCGCCCTGCACGGATGACGAGAAACCGGGTCACTTCCTACTACCTGTCTCTTTTCCCGCTTCGATTCCATATTAAGCGCGCTGAGCGGAGAATCGATTTTCTACCGTGTTCGCTGGGGAATTGATGCATTATTGTCTAGCTGCATTCGCATAATATTTCCGCGTACGCAATGCATGCGAATGTACGCGAAGTAGAAAGAGAGTGTGTGCGAATTTTTTTTCTGCAAAATTGATGATGTTTCAGAACGCGTTGTTACGCGCATTGAGACGGTAACAAGACCAAGTTCAACGCAACCCAGTCGTGCTGATTATTCTTTTCTTGATTTAGTAATTTGAGCTGCCATACATTCGTGCAATATATACGTTTACCATCATGATAGCCCTGACGTCAGCTGCTTCCATTGAGAGTTACTATAAATTGCAACGCGATGAAAGCAAAACTAATTGATATTACATTTCGAGAAGAATGTCTTAAATTATTTTAAATAAGATAAGGAGAAAAAGATAGTTATTCCAAATATTTCTTAAATATATTTTTCCAACAAAATAAATTAAAATGTAAATTTTTAATAAAAGTATCGACGTCAGTTGGACATTTGAGATAGGCTAACGATTAAATCATTCTTCCTCTTTCTTATAGCTCTGGCATTCTGCAACTGGTCAGACCTCCAGAAAATGCGAAGAGAGATGCTACGAGGGCATACTTTCCCGCGCGCCTTTACTACACGCTACAACCAGTTAAACGGCATAATCGGCGACGAGATGGAATGGCTGATTAACCACCTGACCGGCATCTCTGGTATCAGCGTGCACGCTAAGCCGCTGATATTGCACATGTGCGCGAACATCTTCTTCAAGTACTTCTGCTCGCGAGGCTTCGAGTACAGTCACGATTCTTTTAGCCAGATAATCAAGAATTTCGACAAGGTCTTCTATGAAGTAAATCAGGGATACGCCGCAGATTTTATGCCGTTTCTAATGCCACTCCATCAGCGTAACATGACGAGGATGGCAACTTGGACCCACAAAATCAGAGAATTTATGGAGAAAAACGTAATTGAAGATCGTGCGACTAGCTGGAAGTCGGTCATACCTGAGATAGACTACATAGATTGTTTGATAAATCACATCAAGACCGATGCTGAACCCAAGATGACGTGGAACATGACAATGTTCGCGCTGGAAGATATCGTCGGAGGTCACTCGGCAGTTGGCAATTTCCTAATAAAAATTCTGGGATTCCTGGCTACACGACCACACATACAGAAAACAGCGCAGATGGAAATCGATGAGATCGAGACTACGAGCAAGTTCATTGGGCTAGAGAACCGAGAAAATATGCCGTATACGGAAGCTATCATTCTTGAAGGAATCAGATTGATCGCCAGTCCGATTGTTCCACACGTTGCCAACCAGGATAGCTCCATAGCCGGTGAGTAATTTTCTCTCCTTTTTAAATACATTATCAAAATGGATAAATGATCAAAATGATTATATAAACAGAGAGAACGGAAAGAAGTGAAGATTAACAATTTTCGCTTGCATTAACATATATTTTTGTAAATTAAAACAATCTAATTTCAAGACAAGATAAGAATTACATAAAAAGAATAGTTTTGCTGAAATATATAAAAATTTATAGATACAGATCTGAAAATGATTTTATTGGAATCAAAATAATGTAGATAGCTTTAGCACGATGAGTAATATTCGCAAAAAGTTTTGACATTTCAGCAACCAGTTCGAGTATTCTATATTATTTTAATAGTCCGAGAAAATTATTTTTATATTTCTGTATCTAGCTAAATTTTTAAATATTTTAGAGAAGAAAACTGTTCTTTTTTTGTAGTGCTTGTCTTTTCTTATAACTTGTCTTGGCATGAAAGTAACTGCTTTTATAATTTATATTTATTTATATACAAAAATTTATGAAACTGTAAATGAAAGTTGAAATCTATGATTTTGAATAATATTAATATCAATAAATTTATTAATATAAAATTGTAACAGTTGATTTTATTTGAATTCTGTTCTTATTCTAGGTTACAAAATAGAGAAGGACACGTTTATCTTTCTGAACAATTATGAATTAAATATGTCGGAGGAGTTATGGACTTCTCCTGAAGACTTCATGCCTCAGAGATTCATACAGAACGGCAAATTGCTGAAACCAGAACACTTTCTGCCTTTCGGGGGCGGTCGAAGATCTTGCATGGGTTACAAGATGGTTCAATATATCAGCTTCTCGACGATAGCCACCCTGCTGAAGAACTTCAACATATTGCCGGTAGAGAAGGAGATCTACAAGGTTCCTATCGGCAACTTGGCACTTCCTATGAACACCTTCAAGGTCCGTTTCGAAAAACGGTAGGATAGAAAATGCAAAAGAATAAATCAATGAGAAAGAATTTGGCCGATGAAATCGGAGCATGACTTTGATTTCTTGTCCATAATCCGATCACGAGCTGGGCTCCTGAAAACTTTGTCGATTACGCGGAACATCAGCGATTAAAAAGATCAATTGAATTTGAACAGAAGGCAAATTTGAAAAATATTGTTCGATATTTAACTCAATTTATTTGATGATTATCGAACTAAGACCAGTGTTTTACACATAGACGAAGTTCTTATTAACATTATGCGTAGCGGAGGACTAGCAGCTAAAAAGAGGCTTTTGATTCCAACGAAGCTTTACTTATGTAGGGAAAATTAGAGACGAGAACGAGCGAAGAATATTGACATTACTAGGTCGTTAAGATAACTAATTGAATTGTTCCTCGACTCATGCTCTAGGCGCGAATACGTGCGGAGCCCAGTTTCGTTAGTTCAAATCTTTGTTATATATAATTTTACTTTCTACAGAATATATGTCTCTCTCTCTCTCTCTCTCTCTCTCTCTCTCCCCCCCCTCTCTTTCTTGTTTTGATTTAATTGACTAACATGAATATTTATAAAAATATTTTACATCATATATAACTGATTTGAGAAAGCATTTAGTGCTTTTTTAATTATTCGGTAATTATAAAATTTTAATTTTGTTTTACTCTAAAAAAATTTTTATTCTTATATTTGAATTTATTTCAATTATTCAATTATTTTATAATTGAATAGTGAAAATTAAAAATTATATACAAAACTCAATTTATAACGTTTTTGCTTTATTAAAAATAAAGATAATTGATTATTAAATTTTTGATTATAAATGAAAATAGTTTAAAAAAAACATTATATATTGCTTATCATTTAATAACTATTTATAAAATACATCTCTTCACTTGTTATATTATTGTAATAAAAGATTGTCACATTAAAGTGCCAAAACCAAGTTCAAACGATTTACACGTATAACTTCATTACTTGAAGACAATCAATGATTGAAATAAAATGAAAATTTCTCTCAAATTTACTTTGAAGAAGATTAAAATTAATTAACAATTCCTTCAAATTTACAGATGTTTAAATTATTTATAAATTTACCGTTAAGAATTTAAGTACACATTTTTATGCTATATGATACAGAATTTCCTTTCCCAAAAAGATTTTGCAAAAGATTTTAATTTTGTACTTTTTATTTCGAAGGTCTAAGATTTTATTTTTACTTATATGTAGAGACAAGTGCGAAATGCGCATTTTGCATATGTAAAATTTATATATTGCAGCATCACTATTTTATTTTTTCTTCTTCTTCTTCTTCTTTTTCTTTCTCTTCTTCTTCTTTGTTTTCTTGATATACATATTAAATGAATGTTGTTATTAAATCATCATATATGTACTTTTCTATCTTGATCATATCGTTATATTTTATGAGGTGGTGTAAAATAATTTTGAGGAGTAATTTTGGGAGCAGAAAATAGGAAAAGAGTTTTAAATAGAATTAGAATATTACAATGATACATGAAAATTTTATAGTTGTTTCCAAAATGTTTGCATTTTTAATTAAAATTATATTTTATAAAATAATAATTATTCTCGACAAAGTAGTACTCTTCCCGTACTACTTCACAAATAATAATTCATTTTTATTATATCGAGCATTTATTAGTGCATTATGTTATTATTATTATACATTCAATTACTTTATATTAATATCACTTATTATTATTATTGTCAGTAATTATGTTAATCATTCTATCCTTTCTCGCTTCGTTTCTCCCACCGAACTATACATATCTCACACAGTAAAAAACATTTTATATTTATGTGTTAGAAATGGTCTACTCAAATTCTTGTTAAAATTTTGTGTTGAATTTTAACGTATCCAAGTTTTAATTTAACATAATATGATTGTATTATTTGAATATTTTGTGTTAAATTAAAATTTAACATTTCTCAGTGTTAAAATAACATAATTTATATACACTATGTAAGTAAACATAAAAATATAGTTTTAAAACGTAAATTCTAAGAATAAATGAATAAAATATGTGTTGATTTAATATTATATTATAAATAGTAATTTTATTGAAGAAATATGTTCTGTACAAGTAGTTACATATTTTATATGTGAAAAAGTACAGATATATATAAAGTACATATATTTTGTGTTATTTCCTCTTGGTAAATATCTGTTAAATCTATATCTATATGTTAAATCTATACACTGCATATGTTAAATATCACAGAAGCATTGTCTAAATTAAAAATATAAAAATAGCATCTAATTTCAGTAAATTTATGACATTATTGATTGCAATTTAACATAAAATCTGTTTTTGTAAATTGTGTCCTAGTATTATGTTTTTTATGTTAATTTCTTACATAATATTTGTGTTACTTTCTAACATATTCATTTTATGTTAAATTAACACAAAAATTTGAGTGGATCGTTTGGGATATGTAAAATATATTAAATTTAACACAAATCAATTTTTTACTGTGCACACTTTCACATTTTATAAATTGTACATTATTTTGTGTTTGTTATTTAATTGTTACGCTATTTGTTAATTTATTATTTAAGATTTTAATAAGATTTTAATAAAA